ATTCATCGTTATCGGCACTAAAATTACCTAATTCTAAACACGACCAATGTATGTTGTTTTATATATATATAACATATATTATTATTAATATATATATTATTTTTATTACTATTATAATATATAGTAAAAACATTCTCCCAGAAACATATAAAAAATATCGTCAATTCTAAACGCGACAAATGTAAGTTGTTTTATATCATATATTATTGTTAATAATAATAATTATTTTTATTACTATTATAATATATAGTAAAAACATTCTCCCAGAAACATATAAAAAATATCAGAGGCAGTCGAAAGCCAGAGATTTCGACTGATTCAGTAGTTACAGCGTCGATAAGCTTCGTCCAGGGGATAAAACTTCCAAATACTTGTCCCGAGGACATCTCTGAGACGTCTCGCAGCACCGAGTTCCATCAAAATGGTGCAACAGACTGCCGACTGCGTCAAGAACTATTTTTAAATCTGGTCGTAGCGAACAAACGAGGTACGTAAATGTCTCGCGACGAAAACGCCGCGTCGCTAACGGCGTGGAAAAGTTCGTGAAAACTGAATTCGGCGGCGGTTGGAAGCGAACCAGGTGCGGACAACGCGGGAAGCCTGGAAAGAAAGTTACGCCCCGAACGAGAACCCGAGGGACCCGAGAGGCGTGGGTGGTGGAAGAGCTGGGGAGAAAAGTGAGCGAGTCAAAGCGATGCGGGAGGAGCCGCGTGTCTTTCCAGGCGCGGTGAAATTGTCTCGTGAGTAACAATGGCTGGAAAGAGAGAGAAAGAGCGAGAGATAGAGAGAGAAAAAAAGAGAGAGAGAAGGAAAAGGAGAGAGTTATATCGTGCACCGTTGGAAAATTCGCGGGCGACGAAATCGCGCGGCGGGAACGGTGGAAACGCATCAGCTCGGGGACGCGAATTCGCGCGGAACAAGTCATTAGACTAACAACGACGCATTGTCCGCTTGTTTCTCTCTTTTTTCCTCCTCGGGAGAGGCTCATCGGGCTTTCCACCCACGCCCGGTCAATTAAGCTTTCAACGGCGATTTTCCGCGGGAAATTACCGCACGCCATTCGAACAACCGACGGCGGCGATTCGACGCTCGGAGCGCGCCCAGGCTCGTTTCCGGAACGATTATGCTTCTTTCAGGTTGACGAAACAGCTGGGAACGACGCGAGTTCCTTTCCTCGCTTGTTCAACGCGGAATTGAATGCTCCCGGGGCCCGGAAACGGCCGGCCAACAATAGTTTTCCCAAATAACGCTGCTCGCGCGCGTCGACCGAATGGTCGGTGTACCGGTCTATTCGCAAATCTTCGCACAACCTTGACATAATCCGAGTTCCAATCGATTAAAATGTTACCCGATGATTGCGTTTCGACGATGGCGAACAAATGATGGGGAACACTGACAGTATATTAACCCGGCAGGACGCGTGCAAACTTTTTAAACGAAAGTTTCGACGTGTGGTGTTCGTGGGCTCCAGTCAGAAGTGATTTATCGATGATAATATGATTCTTGTAATCAATTCGTCTCCTGTAAGTTAGCTATATCACATCTTTCACACTTCTGGTTTTCGTCATAAATTCTTAACAAAGCATTTATGGACTTTTTATTGTAAAACAGTTTAGTTTCACTTCTACTTGCAGAGCACACTGACGAAGTACATACGGAAAAATACGAGACACCCTGAATATTTTATAGATATTTTATTATAGATATTATTATAGATATTTTATTGTCTCTCTATTAAAATTGCTATACTATAATTAATGTAGTATAAATACAAGACGAAGATAAGGCTTCCTAACGAGGAAGAGGGGAACACTGGACCTCCACGTGTCTAGCGCCGGGTTAAGAAATGCGAGAAGAGTGATGTATACTTATCAAAGGTGAAAGAAGAACGAATCTGGTGCGTACTGTTTAACCAGTTAAACATGTTTGACGACTATATCCGTCATGGAGATGTGGCAGAATTTTGTGTCACGACGATTATATCCGTCATTCGTAAAATTTTGTTACAATTTGATATTTAAATTGTAATCCTGGCGAAAACTAAATTATATTCGTATAAATTTTAATATGTTTAAAATGTTTAGAGGTCAAGACGAAATGAAACAAACGAATGAAAATTATAAATAATTTTAGTTAGATTCATCGCTTGATCGTTCGATTCATCGCCCATCGTCGCTTGATTATTGCGCACTGGTGGGCGCTTTGCAAAGAGATTGCCACAGTTAACTGGTTAAGAGATAATGGAAGAATGAGTCTCACTCGCTGCGTAAAATGTCTTGAAGTATATCTTAATACTTGGTCGACTGGTCGACCGCGTATTCCTAGTCGCCCACGAGTCGGATATTATCTATGCTTATCTTAAATTTAAAAAAGCAGGTCGCCCATAGTGATCAAAAGTTTGGCCAGCCCTGATCTAGATTCTAGGCCCAGGCCCCACTAGACACTCTGAGTCATCACTGTGCTCTGCTCCTAGATGGATTTATGACCTATCTGGTCGAAAGCTCGATGTCGTACGTGTCTAACACACGTTGCGCCCAGACAAACGAGCCCCGTCGAAGCCTCGCTCCGAGGAAACAACCAGATTTCGAGCAGCCTTGCCGATTGTCGCGGAACGTGTCCTAAAGACGCACGGTTACTCTCGGCAACAGCCGCGCCAGCCGGCACGAATTTGTCAACGAAACTCCCGACGCGTTTCGTGCGAGCAATCCTGCGGCAAGAATTCCCGCACGTTTGTCAGCAGACGGTGCCGCAGCGTTCGTAATGAGATATGATGATAATTCCGCGGGACAGCATGAAGAGCTGCTGCTCCGGAAACTTTTCTCTCTCGGCTCGTCTGCATCCGGAAGAACCCCACTTCTCCGTTTTCTTCTTCTTCTTCTCCTGCTTCTTCTTGGTGCCAAGCCTCGCGGGAGTCGCCGTGACGCCATCGCGTAATTGTGAAATAACGCAAGATAAAGCTGTTCGTTAAGGGAACTTTATCACCGTGGATTTGCCCGCGCCGGCTACTCTTCGGACAATTTCCCTCCTTCAAGAAAATTCTAAGCTACGTGCCCCACTTACTTATCCTCCTCTCGTCTTTTCTTACTTAGTATTTCTGCGGAGTGCATTGTGATTCTCCGAGGTTACGTGTTTTTGCTCTCGAGAAAGGGATTCGTACGTATGCAAGCCGATACTCTGGAATGTGTGCGCCATTTTGCTGATTCAATGCACTTTCGAATTGTTACGGAAATAAAGAAATTTTGTTTCGGGTGAAGTGTAACGCGACTTCGGCTTTGTTCGATCACTAAATCCAATGGTTAAGCAACCGAAACCACCGTAGAATGACTACAACTTGGCAGGACTAACATCCAATGCGATTATAGTAAATTTTCTCCAATTTTTCCTGAGCTTGTAAACAAAAGTGGACAATTTTGGAAGAGGAGATACGATCATTATATACGATTATCATAGATTATTATTATGTTTTTATAGACGCCGATTGTCAACAACTATAAAAACGAGCCGCGAGACTCGAGTAATCGTATCCCCTCTTCCCGAATTGTCCATTTTTGTTTACAAGTTCGAGGACAATTGGAGAGAATTTACTGTACAGAGTAATTTCTCCCGGAAATGCCATATTTCGGGTTGCTGTGAATTTTTCCTGTGCTAGTCCTACGCTTACGTAATTTATTGCTACGTCGATGCTAAGGTTCGACGGAGTCGGTCAAGCGTTTGATGCGGCACGCGACGCGAATTCTCGGAAGAGAATTCAACAACACGGTGTGAGTCAGGTCAGAAAAACCGCGGAGCTATAAAGTACGTGATAGCTACAAGGTACGTGATTGCCGAATCGTGTTATGTGGCCTCCGTATTGCCTCCTAATTGCCTTCGAATAGTGGCATATGGCCTCCGAATTGCTTTCGAATAGTGGCACATGGCCTCCGAATTGCCTTCGAATAGTGGCACATGGCCTCCGAATTGCTTTCGAATAGTGGCATATAGCCTCCGAATTGCCTTTGAATAGTGGTACATGGCCTCCGAATTGCTTTCGAATAGTGGCACATGGCCTCCGAATTGCCTTCGAATAGTGGTACATGGCCTCTGAATTGCCTTCGAATAGTGGCACATGGCCTCCGAATTGCCTTCGAATAGTGGCACATGGCCTCCGAATTGCTTTCGAATAGTGGCATATGGCCTCCGAATTACCTTCGAATAGTGGCATATGGCCTCCGAATTGCCTTCGAATAGTGGCACATGACCTCCGCATTGCCTTCGAATAGTGGCACATGGCCTCTGAATTGCCTTCGAATAGTGGCATATAGCCTCCGAATTGCCTCGAATAGTGGCACGTAGCCTCCGAATTTCCTCCAAATAGTGGCATATAGCCTCCGAATTGCCTTCGAATAGTGGCACATGGCCTCTGAATTGCCATCGAATACTGGCACATGGCCTCCGAATTGCCTTCG